CCCCCCCCTCCCCACAAGGCCCTTGAACGTGATGAAGAAATGTTGACGCTTGCTTTTCCTTCAGACGCATGCGAATGACAAAAAAAAAAAAAAAAAAGAAAAGCCAGATGGGAATTTCAACCCCCCTCCCTGTCTTCTTTCCTCCCCATGGCCCGTTACACAGCGGTGAAAATGATTGAAAAGCACACTTTTCCTTCAACACGCGCACGGCTCGAAGCAGTCTCGGTGACGTGTGATTGTCAGAAGCTTGAGCTGACACTTCCCACTGGCGGATGACAAAGCTCAGCGGGGGGAATTCATTTCCCAAGCAATCATTCGCCAGGTTTCACAGCGAGGACAGGGTACAGCGTCCTTGATTGGCTTTAAGCGGAAATAACGCCGCGCTCGGTGACTTTGAGGCAACTTTCCCCCTGTTAAAGTCTCACGTCGAGTGCCATTCTGAATATTTTACCAACTGCCCGTGTTTTGCATCAATAGGTTTGCAATTCACTTGAGATTTGGTTTTTCCGCAGCGCAGACTTCTGATTTTGACAGAAAGCACCATTTACGGCAATGCTTTTACTTTTCAAGCTGCGTTTGAGTGATATCTATTGCTATTAAACGCAGCCTAGCGCTAAATATTTGTTTATCCAGCACAATGCTGTAATTCCCGTTTCATCTCGAAAGGAGAAAGAATTGCCGAGCATTGAAGCGTTTTCAAAGCCGCTTCCCCACTGTTCTTTTTTTTTTTCCTCTCTATTATGATCAAGAATCAGACAAACGCACATACCCACTCACACACACACACACAAATAAAAACTCGCACACAGCCTGGCAGCAAGAGAGTGTGTATAAACTTTGCTCCCATGAGGCTCATTATGCTTCACGCTTTTTTTTTTTTTTTGGAATCTTTAAATAACGACTGGTGGCCAAGCAGGTGACTAAGACCATCTGTGGCTAAAACATTGCTTGTTTTTTTTTTTTTTTTAACCTTCATATGAATCAGATCAGATGTTTTGCCCAATGTGGTGTGAATGCATATTTATATACATGATGATCGTGAACTGAATGGTCCAATTTAGAAGATTAATATGGGGGGTAAAAGAGTCCTCTTAAGCACCTTTGATGTGAACTACCGTATTTTCCGCACAATAAGGCGCCTCCGGGTGCCGCCAACAAATAGCCTATTTTAAAACGGTTTTCAAATGTAGGGCTCACCGCATTATAAGGCACATAGAATCGAAACTACAATAGTGGCTGCGGTTGCGTTATACATCCACTAGATGGAGCTATGCTAAAAGGAATACAATACAATACAGCTTTATTTCTATTGAGCTTTCCCAACCACTGCAGCTGTAACAAAGCGCTTGACAGAACATTTAAAATACGTCCAATAAATCAGAATATTGATATATATAAGGCGCATCGGATTATAAGGCGCACCGAGAATGCTTTTAGGTGCACCTTATAGTGCGGAAAATACGGCACTGCGTAGAACAGTGATTGTGAGTCAAGTCGTCTGATCCGACGTCATTTACATCGCGTATAAGAAACTTGGGAGTTGTTCACGGTGTCCCAAAAATGTTGATCTTACACCACAGAGTGCACTCGAGAGCATTTTGGGCGCTCGCTCCCCCTGTACTCAGCAGATATATTGGAGCATATTTTGCGCGCACGTGTTATTAAGAAGGATCACGACTGTCACCGTGCAGAGCGCTGACAGCCGAGGTGAGCCGTAAGCAGGCGAGGAGATTTAGGGTGACGAGCCGCTTTCACCATCGGCGGGCGACGTTTAAGTTCACATGTAGTTCAGTACGACCCTGAGCGCCACTTATGGAAGCCAATTGTTCTCACGTCGCACCTGACGCAGAAGCTTTTTTCTAAAGTTCTGAAGTTCTTTTTTGGATTTTTTTTTTCTACCTTTCCAAACAAAGTCGGAATTTTGCAAATTGTGACGATAATTAGAGGAAGTTGCATCCTCGGTTGGTGTCCCCAGCTGTGCCGCGTCTTCATGCAAATGGGGCTCCTCACTGCAGCAGGTGCGTGTACTCTCTGACGAAACCTTTTCCCCATATCACCGCATGCTAATTAACCATCTATTTAGTCTCGAGATTTCCTCCACTCGTGATTTGCTGGCAATCAGCTCCAGGAAACGTTTTGATCATTTCCGAAAAGGGGAAGATGGCAAGCTTGAATGGGCAGTGGACTCAAATGTAGAAATCTATTTGGTATTAAGCCAAAAGTTAATTCTGCCTTCTGACATCCTATACCTCATGCTAGCATGACGTACCGCGGCATTAAAAATTCAGCGGCCTCAGTTCTGACTCAATGTGATTTACAGGAAATGTGGCGATGAGTCAAGTTCAAGTGACATAAGATGGTATTAAAACATCCTTAGCCCCACTGACGAGAACCAGGCATGCACTAAAGACATTTTTTACGTGTCTTTAGAACGCAAGGGGTCATCATGTCCATAAGACTTGACGATGAGGTGCTGTTTCGGTTGCCGTGGCGAAAATGTACTGCAGACCTTCGACATTCAAGACAGCTTGTAGGATAAACGGATTTAAAAAAAGCCGCACCTTGCCGTAGCTCCTTCAATTCATTTGATTGGAGATTTGAGTCCATTCATCACCACAAGAACCCGAAAGACTCTCAGAACGTGAGAATCCGATGCCCACAAATTGACTCGACTGCAGCGGAGTATGAAAAGCTAATCTTGCTGATGAGGTTTGTGACGCATTGCCGTTCAGGTCCGCTACATGCCAGGTACATTATCTCCAACTGTGCGTGGACTCCTCTTGAAAGGGTCACAACAATTTATTTTAATCCCACTTTCATGCGTCCACTTTCCTGAAGTAAATTGCCTGCCGAGACGGTCTGCTGTAGCCGGCTGCTCATTGGTGATTCCGG